TTAAAATACAAACGCAATCTGATAAAGTGCTCGGTTCACAGAGCAAGAGGAGTCTGCTCGGATGAATGTCTTGATGAAGAATTTAATAATATCAAATGCTTGCTGAGTGAAAACGGTTACACAGAAAAGTTTACTGATAAGAACATGAATCTAAAATCAAAGCAACCCAAGGTACCGACAGTTCCGAAAAAGGCCTTATTCTTACAATGGCAGTTCCTCTGGGACAACATCAGCGAGATACTAGCACAACGCCTTAGAAATGCGGTAAAAAGAGCGTTCCCTGCTGCTGAACTACGCTGTCTTCAAAATCACTGCTCTTTTGCTTTCGGGAGTAAAAGATGAACTGCCTAATTTCGCCTCTTCCATGTGTATCTACCAATTGAACTGCTCCTGTTGAGCCAGTTACATAGGCCGTATAATTAGGCGTGTTTCTCGTCGAATCTCCGAACATCATCCTGTGTGGTTAAGCAAAGGACAAACAAACTCTATTCGCAACGCTATTCTATCTCATCTTATGGATACAGAACACAAGATTGTTGTTAACCATGCTTTCAGAGTCATTTACCGCATACAAACAAATCTCAATTTCGCCTTAACAGTTCGGCTACTAAATATTGCTGAGGCTGTTAGGATCCACATTAAGAAGCCTAATTTGTGCATTCAAAAGAAGTTAATCCAGACATAGTCATTACCTTGGCCATCTAGGTTTGAATGATCCTGAATTTTTGTGGAATTTACGTGATTTTAGTTGATATTCTATTTGATACTATATCTTTATCATTATTGTAATTTAAGCATCTTTAGTGAACTTGTAATTCCACTGTGATCTTACTTTACAAATCGATATTATTTAAAAACCACTAATATTGTTATTGACTACTATTCTAGAATATTCTATGTATATAAACATTTATTTTTATTTTTTTATTTGTAGAGCCGGAAGGGGAATTTATCGAAAAGAATATATTTTGTTCAATTATTTTGTTTTTTATAAACGAAATTTAGTCAAATCAGCTGCCATTTAGATCCGACGCATCTGTATTCCTGACTCGGAAGGAAACCATTACAAGATTCGTCGACAAGAATATCTAACCAAAAGTTCAGATGAGTAACTTTACGTGAATCTGAATTTCAAGGGAGACTTAACATGAGATATCTCTAAGAGAAGACCTTCATTATCTCGCATTTAATTACTGATGTGTGCAAATATCAGTTCATCTGTTACTGCGGGGCTAGGTATATTAGTCATTCAAGGCGTATCCTCTCTAAAAAGGTTCATGAACACTATCCTGCATAGTTTCAGGAGGGTTGTAGTGGCTGTGTAACGAATACGATAATCGAACAACTTATTAGCACTGGTCATTCCATTCCAGCAGACGCCTCCTCATTCATAGTGTTCTACAAAGCGAAGAATAACCTGTCAAAGGCATCACGTTTTCGTCTCGTTTGCCATTCAGTTAGAGGAACCGGAGCTATGCATACAGGAGAAAATTATTCGACCAACTCTACTTTCATGGTAGCAGTTTTGTTGGTATCTACTGACTTGAATTTCATTTATTTGTTTTTGTAACTCCCTGCAACTCCTGTATTTCTTCAGAGGTCTGATTAAACTCCTTCATTTCTGTGTTCATCTTGATTACAACTCATTCATTGGATTATTCGTCTTATTACGAAATTCTGAAACAGTTATTACACTCATCATATGCACTGACCAAGATTAGCGACTATGACCGTGACAGCCCATCACTTTCAGTATTACCCCCTTTCACGAAGAACACTTTGTGAATAAAAGTGATTGTGGCGCTAAATGGGAAAATGGATTTCCCCCCCCCCCCAAAAAGGGCCTCTTCGCTGAACTACGTGTTTTGTTTTCATTAAGAGTGAATTTAATGATAGATCGCCACCAACCCTGGATAATGCAAACTAGGTAGGTGATCAATCTTTTGACATTGGCGTTACAATGTGATAAAATTAAAACTGATGTCAGTCTGTGAACAACTCTGCAACCAATCAAATCCTTGAAAAGTAACACTTAATCTGAAGCTCGCTAGAGACTGGCGCCGCACAGGAAGTTACTTGGGGTTCTATTGAGTCCACCAACTCAGGTAAAGGGATATTTACTTGCGTATGATACTGACTAACAGTTGCACTAAATATGTATACATATGTATGCATAAATACATATATATATATATCACGAAGTAGCAGAAATTGCAGTTTTGTGGACCATTGGGTCGTATCCCAGTGGCTGAATGATCTAAAAGCCCACCTCTTAACCATGAGGTCTTGGATTCTAATCCCGGTGACTGTGTGCTGCTGAGAAGTCCCAGTCTAGGACGAAACAGCTGTCCATTGCTCTCAGGTTTTCCAGTGGTTCTCTAACTGATGTCAACTCGCGATAAATCATGTAAAATTAAAATACTGGTAAAAGATTTAAACTTCAATGTAACTGTTGACAGACAAAAAATTGAGGATGTAATTCTGAGTGTTTAACTATTGTCTTTTTTAGCCCAATAGATAAGACAACTGCTCAACATGTCAAAGTACAATTCGCATTGACACTAAAAACAATCAAAATAAAACCATAAATTACTTATCATGATGAAATCCTCCATGCAATCAAACAAAATCCCTACAAAACCAATACTTGAAAATTAATCTGATGCTCACTAGTGACTGGTCCTATTCAGGCAGTCAACCTGGAGTTCTGATGGGAAGCCGTCAGCAGTAGAGTGCAGCAGCTTGAAGGTGAGGCAGTAACTCATTGAAGAAGACATTGCGAAATGGTCGCGCTATGTCGTGAATTGGCAGAAGTTAGAATTTAAGGACCATTGGATCTGGTCCTAGTGGCTCAATGGTCCACGAGCTCGCCTTGTAACGATAATATCCTGGCAGTGGATGCACACTGCTGGAGAGTCCCAAACTAGGACGGAAGAAACAGCTGTTCAGTACTCCCAGCTTTTCCAGTGGTTCTCTAAGCGATGTAAGCTCATGATGAAATCCTCCAACCAATCAAACAAAATCCCTACAAAACCAATACTTGACAATAAGAACCATCCATATATTAATACTGTATCAGTCTCTGTATATTATACCAGTTACATTTATCGAATATGGAATTGCATTCTATCTACCACAGTGCCTCAGTTCTACCCTTACATAAGTCATTACACGGATCCCACATGAATGCATTCATCAGCGCTGCTTTTCATTTTATAGTCAGCCATTAAGTTTACTCTTGGCGCCAAAGTGTTGTTGAAAGATTACCAGGAGCCTGTACCTGCATTCACGCTTGCAGGTGGATCACTTGAATTGGTCGAAAATTTCATGTATCCAGGTAATTGTATGACTGCTGGCAGAGGTATGCAGGATGAAATCTCAAACCATATAGTAACAACTAGAGTAGCCTATGTCAGTGTGCCCATCTCTGACGCTATCACTACGTCAACCTGAATATCTACGGCAATTCTGCACATTTGATTATCGCTGTCCCCGTAGAAATGATTGCATCCGATGGCATCAACGTTTAAGTAGTGTGTGTGTTTAAACACACTGGAGGTCATCAATCATAAAGTATAGTCATCTAGAAACACTGGCTTCAGCAGTTTGGACATATGCTACGATTGTCATCCCACTATGTGTTCGTAAACTCTGTGACTGAATGGAAAACAAACAGATAGGTGGTTAGTATATGATGTGGCACCATAGGATGGACAATATACATGTTAGATTATCATCCCTTTGGTCGGTCGGTCGGTTTTCGACATAGAACTTTGCACATATGTGCGGCAGTTCAAGTCGCCACACTCCATGTAGCACACAAAGGAAGAGAAGAAAGTAGAAGAAATGCATAATCTAGACAGTAAACAGAGGTGTGAAACAAAGGAGTAGTAATAACGAAGAACAATATATTTTCATTGGAAATCATAAGTTACAAGGAGTGGATGCATCTGCGCCACTGAGAACGATTTTGAGCCATGTCACCAATTGTTTCCAACCATTGGCTTTTACCGTCCTAAGGACCCCAGCCAGGAAGTCTACACCTTCCTACGTGGCTTAGACTAACTGTTGTAGATTTCATTGACTGGTGCCATGTTTTGGTTTGACCGCCGCTAGCTCTTTTCCAGCCTGACCCTATATCAGCTGACATTGCCGTTTGAGGAAGACGGTCGGCTATGCATACGTAACACATGTCCTAACCATCTCAGTGGATGTAATTTCACAGTCTCGTCGACTGATTTCCCCTCCTTACCTAGCACTCGACGCCTAACCTCAATATTGGTCACCTTATTATACCACTTCAGGTATATGATCCCTTGGTAAATCACGACTCCGTAGTTGAGGGCCAAGAGATAATTCGAATCAGATATAACCTGGGTTTGATGACCAGACGTGGATTTGCTTTTCAAAGCAAACTAGTCAAGTTATTCAGTTTAACAAGCATATATTTTTTTGATGTGGTTGTGTTCTCTGAGCTGGATAGTTAATTTGCGAAGCTTTCATCACCCTACTAGGCATCATCTTCAGCGCATACTTCAATTTGAATTAAAGTGAGCTTTTAGATTTCCCCACGAGTTTATCAGTCATCTTTTCTGGTGACCTTGAAAGTGTGAAAACACACACAAACAACCAATCACGTTCTAGGTTACCAGGGGAGATGACCAATAATCTCATGCAGAAATCTAAAAGTTCTTTTCAATTCAAATTGAAGTATGCTCTGAAGATATTGCCTAGTAGGGCAATGATAGCTTCGCAAATTAACTATCCAGCTCAGGGAACACAACCACATCAAAATCATCCACCTGAGCTACAAATCGTCTCCATCATATCTAAACATGCATATATGTATATAAATATATAAATCTTTTATCAAGTCTTTTCCACCAATCACAGTTGACTCAGTTTGTTTACAATCCACAACCAATGAAATTACTCAAAATTTATTATATAAATTCAATTATATTTCAGTAGTCATTTAGTACAGACTAAATCATTTATCCCATTTTCGATAAAATGTGTCACTAAATTTTAATTAGAAACACAAATCTTCACACGCACGCATACACACACACACTTTCGTTTTAAACCTGCCATCATTATGCCGTCATCTCATCGTGTTAAAGACTGTTTAAAATCAATCACAAATGAAGAGATTATGGTGTATAGATTTCGCGCCTACGTCTCTCCCCTTCTTGCACTAATCGGTATTCCAACCAACATACTAGTCATTATAATCTTCATTATAATCGATAAACGCGGATCATGTCGTTTCAATCATTATGCTATCTGGTTAGCATTCTCACACTTAGCCCAACACATTATCAATACACTAATTGATGATTTCCTCGGACGTGGATTACTCTGGGCAACTGGTTGTCGTATCTGGTATCAAGTCGATGCGTATTCATCATTCACGTGTAAAGCCCTGACTTACCTGTCAGATGTATTCGCACTGATCAGCTCTTTTATTCTAATGCTATTCAGCATTGATCGTGTCTGTTCCATATACAATCCAAAACGATGTGAACAAACATTGCACTTGGGTGTAGCAAAACTGTGTATACCTATTATATATATTGTCTGCCTACTATTAAATATACCTCATATTATCAACGCCGATCTAAAGTATACTTCAAATCGTGAACTCAGTTGTGAATATGTTGACCCAGTGGCTAATGGAGTTAAATATGTATTATATTTATATATAATTGGTGGGACACTGCTACCAGCCTTATTGATTTTTATTACAAATATCTTAATCTCATGTAAGCTGAAATCAGCGATACGTCGATCGAAGTCTATCGGTTTCCGTGATAAAGATTCACACAGTGAGTTGAGCAAGGTTATTACTCACTTGGCTATCAGTATTATGTTCACGTGTTTATCCATTCCTCTGGTTATCTTAGTTATATTACGACAAGAAGTACACTTTAAAAATTATGAAATAATCTATCCTAAATATGCGCATAAAATTATCCAGCTATCGAAGTTGTTCAGTTCTCTGGAGTCATTTAATCATACGTTTGAATTTTTCTTCTATTGGGCATTTTTACCAGTTTTTCGAAGAACATTGTATCAAATGCTGTCGAGTTGTTATTCTTCGTTGTTGTGTAATGCTAAAAAGACGCATGACAAGGAGACAAGAGATATGAAAGTCATGAATAGTACTTATAACATTATAAGTAATAATCATAATCATAATAATAATAATGAATTTGCTAACAATAATCAAAAAATAAACGTTTACAATCACCTTCACTCGTTGTATCATTCATCTGAATTAGGTAATTATTATACATCTTCATATTTCCCTATTGGCTATTCTCCTTTACGTCAATACAAAGGCTGTCAACACCTACATCATCAACGGCATCCTTCCCTGAGGTATAATTACCATTACTACGCACCTGGAGAACGAAAACAACATGAGCTATATTGTCAGTTAGAATATAGTAAACCGTTAAGTTTTTATTGTATCGATGACATTCTACATAAGAATTCTGTACACGATAATAAAATGAATCAGAGAAAGTTATCAAAAGATTCTAATTTTATGATGGTCAGTAATTTATGATTAGGTGTATTGTGTTTAATTTTAAGCGGGGAGTGAACTTGGTTGGGTGTACAACGCTCACTAAAAAAATTTCTGTTGTAAATACACATAAATGGATATTATTGCTGAATTCATTCACACTATGAAACATGAAATAGAGCAGAGTTTCTACTCTTTCGCTATTGCTTTCAGCTTCTTTTTTCTTTTTTAAAATTGGATTTTTCATCCTTTCTATATTTATATTTTTAATTGTAATGGGAAGATTTGAGTTATGCAAATTTTACTGTTTATTTCTTTCGTAATTTACAATCAGGAGGGAAGTGTGTGTGCGTATGTGTGTTTAAATGTATCAAATGTACTATTTAAAATAAAGCCATTATTGGCGGCAAAAATGAAATTTTCAAATAAACCAACTTAATGTTGTTGTTGATGTTTTTTTGTGTTTAGGGCTTTTCATTCACTTTTTGTTCTTTTCTTTTTCTTTTTGTTTATTTATGTATTTATTTGAAAAGCGCGGTATTTATGTGTGTTTTTTCCCCGCCTATTCTCTGAATTTTTATGATTTAACTACACTTTTAGTACATTGGTGACGATATCATTAAAAAAGGGTGTTCAGTTCCTGGATTTGAATAAAATTAAAAATAGCACATTTTTTTATTGTTTAATGTGATCGTCATTATCATTGTACATAAAAAGGGTTGTTATTTTATAGATCTACTATGAACTGCATGTAGATGGAACTATTCTCAATTACAGAAAAACAAAATACAACGAAAAACACCGCTATCTTTCTGATTATTCCACAACTACAGATTTTACATTCATGATAATGAAATTATGTATTTATCTGCCGCGCGTGTTTTTTGTTCATTGGAAACGTATTTAATGTATGGAGTTGATCAATAGTTAGACAGGGTGAAAGTGAGAATGAGACAGCGAGTGGAATATATCTTAAGACAATTAAAGTAACTTAATTCCTCTTGGAGGTTTCAAACACAAATGTCTGCCACTGTCAGGATTAACTTATATTCTCTCTGCGGAAGCTTTATGTTCCCCCTTCCATGCCGATGAATGTCAAATTCAGCATTTTAACCGCTCAGATTGCTACTACTGCTACACGATTCGATGAATGCCTACTTCACGAATCGGATTATGATCAATCAGGTCTGTGGAAGAGGATTTATTTCATTCGACGCTAAATACTCCATTTATATATATATATTACTGAAATGTTGTCAATATCATAAGGGTTGGTCAGTATAAAAAAATATACTTTGTAAACTTGATATAAATGTGGAATAGTTATTTTTGGCTCTTTCTTCCTTTTTCATTCTTTTGTGTTCTCTAATGGAACAGGGGGATTCAAGAGTTTTTTGGGAGTTCCAACGGCGGTGTTTTTATCCCTATCTATCCCTCTTCTCTAGGCTTTCTACCAGATAGCAAACTTAATGAGGCTTACGAATAGTAGAAGTCAGACCACCTTCTTGGCTGAATTCTGACAATATTGTTATATCATTATTGTTTCTTTGGGTTTCGAGTCCAATATAGGGCTTCAGCATCACATCTCCACTTGGTTCTGTTTTCTCTGGTCCTTTTCATCTGGCACCACGATTGCCCATGGTCTCTGATTTCCTCCTGACACTATCTTCTCTATATCACCCTGGGACCAACACCAGAATTGTGGTTTCCAATTTGGATTCCACTCGAGTGATGGCCTGATGCGCGATGCCATTTGGTGGTCTCCTCAAACTGTAGCTGATCCAACTCCATTTTCTTCGGAATATTTATTCAGCAATAGGTTGTTGGTTGGTTCGTTCCAACAGTTCTTTGTTGCTTATTGTTTTCGGCTGGCCATCTGAAATTCCATATGGTGCCAGAGAAGGCAGTTGTTGATAAAAGTCTGCAGCCGGTTGTTGGAAATGCTTTTTGTCAGGCGCAGTGTAAATTTCTGATTCACATAGAAGAACTGTCTGACTTGATATTGATGCTGAAAATCTGAATTTTTGTTATTTATGCTGCAAAGTGCAGCCAATTTAAAAGTGATGAAGGTCTCTATCGCCTTTCTGATTCTGCATTTACCATGCCCCTCTTTGCATATCACCTGTAGTTGAAACGATGCTTGATGAGATAAGTGAATGAAGTAACCTCTTTCATGTCTCTTCCGTTGATTGCTGCTCGTTGTGGTTCCTGGCTGGTTATCCTCCTCATTTCCCTTTTCTCCATGCCTACTTGAAGTTCTGTCTTTGCCGCTTCAGCCAGTCTATTGGCTTTTGTCAGGTATACTAGTTAGGTAATTTTCTAGCACTTCATACTCTTCGGAAAAGTAGGGAAAGTTGGGCAAGGGGCTAGCCACCCTAACCCAGAAAACCGATTCAGAAGCAACGGAAACCTCAAAGCACCAGAAAAATCTAGAAACGAACATATCCTTCTCTGGAATCGGAGGGACGGAGTGAAAGCCTTCTGGAAGTCAGTCAGCCGATGTGTCTTCTCTCGATGAATGCAAAAAGAATCATTGGGATGTGGAATGTTCGTAGAATGTATGGAGCTGAGAAGGCTGTCCAGGTTGCCTAAAAAAACGAGAAGATGCGGCATAGAAGTGCTAAGAATCTGCGACAGCAGATAGAATGAAAACCTGACTGTTAAATAGTTTAATTCATCTTCCGCTTTGCTTTCGAAAGGGAAGCAGAATACTAGCTACTTTCGTCCAGTGAAATTCACACCATTTAATCCGTTGACTGAATTACTTACCTATTATGTATTTCGGGAGGATTATTAGATTTAGCCACAAATTTATGGGATTCAAAATCACTTATAACTGGAAGTTTATATAAATAAGTTTGAACATATTGAAACTCGTAGATGACTACTTTCGAGGAATTACGTATGGGACCAATAGATCTTACCTGTGAGGTAAATAAATAAATGTCTGGTCAGGAATCATTATACACGATTGGAGCAATTTACAACGAAATTCATGACTGTAAGCAACAAGCGTGTTTTATTATTATTGTTTCCTTAGTTCCTAGAGGAACATAGGACTTCGGTCGCACGTCTCCATTGCGTTCGGTTCACCACCAACGTTTTCACCTGGCACCACGTCTGTCTACATGCTTTCATCTCCTCTTCACATGACCTCCTCCATGTCACCCTCGCATTGACAACCAACTCACCGCTTCCCGTTCGGGTTCTACTTGAGTAATGGCCTGGCGTGTGGTGTCACTTGATGGTTTTTGCTGAGTATGGCCAACCCACCTCTATTTCTTCCTACATATTTGTTGCACAGTCCGTTCCTGGTTCCCAGAGATCCCTGTTGCTGATCTTTTCTGACTGGCCATCTGATCTTGAGAGAAGTATTGAGCGAAGACAGCTGTTTTTGAAGGTCTCTAGTTTGTTCGAAGTCGCCCTCGTGACGCGGCGCCAAGTCTCTGATCCGCACAGCAACACAAGGGTGCAGGAAGTCATTATTAGCAAGGTAGCAGTTGATTAATAGTGCAGGCGGAGACGAAGTTAATCCTGGCTGGTTTTTAGGTGAGAATTTTAAAGATTATCGCAACAGTTACCATTGCCAAGCCAAGAACGGATGAAATCGGTGTGTATTTTCAGGTAATACACACCAAGAAGATGATTGATCTGATAAAATGTGTACTTTAGGACATGTTATGACTAGAATGATATACCTTTGTCTTTATACAACTTACTTAGTCTAACTTTTGGGGATTTTCAATGTCAGATGCTCAGCAGTTAGTAATAACAATAAAAATGGCATTATTATTTCAGACAAAACTTTTGATACACTGTGGAATTCTCAGCATGTAGTACACTGTTACACTATTAAGTTTTCTCTCTACATTATCTAGTGAGAGGAAAAACAATTTACGGAAAATTTGTGTTAATAGTAATATAAGTAAGAATATAAAAATGTAAAATTAAAATTATAGATTAATAGAAATAATAAATAACTATGGTATTTATATATATATTAAAAACAAGGAGAATAGAAAGAGCTGCTTATTTTCTGTTTTTCATGGTAAGTTAGCAGTTTGATACCTAACACACTTCCCTTCACAAAATATGCGTGCATGTGTATATGCAAAGTGTAAGAAGGAATTTTTATGAGGAAAGCAATTGAAGTTTTGAAAAAAAGACCAATTTTGCATTCACTTCGGCAAGTTTCACAGAGTAACGCTAAAAGCTATTGAGTTCCTTCACTGTCAAAGGGTGCTTGCATTTTTTTCGGATCGTGGAAAATACCCATCACGACATTAGAGGGAAAAGAACAGGAAGTTCATCAAAGATGACACTCTTTTCGGCGATTTCATTCTCAAAGGCTGTACAATCGCATTTGTATACATGAGTTTACATGGATGCAATTATTATTTATTTATTTATTTAATTCCACATAATAACGAAGGAGATAATAATTTTCAACTTGATCTGAAAGTTTGAAGATGGGAATATAGATAACAAGGGGCTTAGAAACAAGATTACATAGGATTAGAGAACAGTTACAACATATGCAAAATTTAGCCACTGGTTCAGTCAGAAGCGTCATAACTGAACACCTCCTCAATACCTGCCAGACCATCTCAACTGACTACTCATTATTCAGAGTCATTTACAAAGTAAACGAAAATCTACCGAAGGTAGTGTGTTTCCGACTTCTCTGTACTGCGGAAGCTCTCGCCATATGCATCGAAAAGCCGGAGCTGCGTGTTCAAAAGAAACTAGTCCACTCCTAACAAATACTATGAACCTAGTTAGGTATGTTCCATTAGCCTTCGGTTTTCTGTTTTCTTCGCTGTATGTTTATTTTTCTCTCTTTGTCTTTATTCACTTCATCCCATTTTTTCAGTTATAAGAACAGTTATTTTAAGTTTGTTTCCATGCTCCTCCTGCTCACACTTGTAATTCGTTTAGAATAACTATTTTACAATTATATTCTAATGCTGTGTAATTTTTGTTTCTAAGCCTCTTGTAATCTATTTTCGCACCTCCTAACTTCCATTTCAAGTTGGAAATTA